GGCAAAGCCTGCCATCTAGTGGGTTGACAGGGTAGCACCATGTTAGAGCGCAAGCAGTGGTTTTCTCCCAGCGCTCGACAGGGAAGGTCCATTTCTCTGTGTCTCTGTAAATTCCTGCATCTGACGCCCTTGAAAATCTGTAAGTGTGGCAAAACTTTTTATTGTTGCAACTTATTAGTACCTTGTTCAGCAAAGTAATGAGTTCTTGTGTGTTTAGCGAGCTTGTTACATTACTAGCACAAGCTAGCTGTTAGCCCTTTGTTTAGCCTGCTAACATTAAGCATACCAGCATGTGGTGTTAGCTGTATCTCCTGACATCTCTGTATCTCTTGATTGTGTAGTGACTGTTTACATAAGTCAACAATATTTAATGTAATCTTTGTGTATTTGTATGGAGAGTGAATACACTGTATTCTGTTTCTGTTATTACAGTTTTACAAAAAGGAAAATAAGGATCAGTAAAGCTCTGAAGAATGCCACACGGTCTCCTGAGTGTTTACTGAAGCCATTTAATGTTTAGCTCACTGCATAAGCTGGATAGAGACATTCAGCTGAGGGCAGAAGACCAGGTCTTTCTTGGAAATGAGATTTTTAATCTAAATGAGATTTTTTTTTTACCTGGATAAATAAAGGACTAAATTTATTTATCCAGAAATAAAATTAAAAAAATAAGTATTCATATGTTTAGCAAAACATTGTGGTTGGAAATAATTAGTAACTTGCATTCAAAGTAATATTTACACTTCTTTTCAAATGCAGTTTTATTTCTGTTAATTTCTGTCAAAGAAACACTGTATGCAGAGTATATCATAGCACAGAAATGGCAGTGATGTTTTTAACTCTCATATCTACTAGAAAATTTAAATACATAATAACAAAATTAATCAGTATTTTAACTGCTTTTTCTTAATGTGACAAACAAATGGAAGTGCAATTAGCCAGCAGGTGGCACCACAGCATTGCTTCAGTTGTCCTGCTTCTGTGGCAGAACAGCATGTGTGCAACATGCAACAAGTGCCTTTAAAAAAAACATACTCAACAACTCGATGAAATAGGGATGAATTAGAAGTTTTGATGCAACAGTTTTAAAGAAAACAGTCAGAGAAAAGGTCAAGGGTGTTGGACAGCATGGGGTTTGTAAAGTCAATAATAATTTTTTAATTTAATGGAAATGCAAATTAAATTTGGACTATATTTAATATATAATATTTATATATTGTATTATTGTGTATCTATATATAGCACATTATATATGTGTTGTATTTCACAATATATATGTAACATATATATATACGTATAGATAGATAGATAGATAGATAGATAGTACATACATATTATTGTAACATCTATTGTATACATGTACCATAGGCAAGTTGCCTCCATTTTCTATAATTTTTTAATAATTTTGTATGTACATTTCAAGGACTCTTCTATGTTTTGGAGTGTATTTTTATGTATCTGTATTATATTATACAAACACTTAAAAGTGAATCTCTGTCCAAAAAATGCACTCAGTTTACTTCTTACTCACTATGAGCATCATTCATTATTCTCCCGCAGTAATTAAGGTTAGGATATGTATTTTTTTATCCAATCCATTCTTCTTTTGCAGCATTTAAATAACCTTTATCAGATTTGATGGTTTTGTTACAGACTTTTCAAAAAAGTGTTTTGCTTTTCTTTCACAAATGTGGGGATTAAATTGTGTTAAAATGTACAAAACAGTGATGTCATGTTTTGTGACGAGGACCCAGGCACAGAGAGACTTGATGAATTTAAGAATCTTATGATTTAATAAAGAAATTTGCAGACTTGCACAGAGATGGTAAAATTATGATGACTGATAATGGAGACGAGGACAACAGACGACAGGGAGGAACAGGGGTTCAAATGCACCAAGGAGACAGTCAGAGGGAACTCGGGACAACTGGAGACATTTAGGGATGCAGGGACTGACAGATACGGGGAAGAAGTCTCTTCGTGACATTTATCTTGCCTGGCTGGGCAGCTCTCTGGGTGCTCAGCACCTCCAAAGCTCTGATCCTGGAGTCTCCCCTGCCATGACGTCAGTGACGTAGTTAAACTACAGAAATGTATTTGCGCAATGTCATTAGAAACATCCGGTCTACAAGCGATGCTGATAAGATGATGCATATACTTATTACTTTTAAGCTAAATGGTTGTAATTCATTAGGTCACTCTAAAAGCCCTGAATAGCCCTCAGTTGATGAAGAAAGCTACAGTGAGATAAAGAGATTCCAAATTGAGAGACTTGAGAAATGGCGATCACAGCAGTGATTACAATGAAATGTTTCTCCCACTGAAAACCTCTTTGAGAATCATCTCTCTTGGAAGTCTGAAGAACATCACCAGAGCATTATTTGGTCAGATTACAAGATGTTTTTTTCAGAACAGACAGAGTGGAGTGACCCTGGGCAGACATGAGTGCAAAACATGTGGAGTAAACAATCTAGAGATATTCCTGCATGATAATGATTAAAAAATGCTTTCAATGTCAAACAAGAGTTTGGGAATAAAGTTTGACACCGCTGACCTGAACAAGTATGTTGCCTGATTTGAATCCCACAGAACACCTGAGGGAAATTTGAAGAGAAACGTGGGGAACAAAAAGTAAGACACAAAACAAAACCCTGCAGCAAGCACAGATAAAAAAAAACATGTTGTTTCAAAAATATTGCATGTTTTGTCAGAGCCAAAGAGGCCTGATTCAGTCATTGACAAACACAGACGCACGTATTCATGCCAGCACTGTCCTGCTCACCAGAAAAGTTCCATTTTCACTGATGTGGAAATCTTACAGCCAAATCTGCTAAGCAGATCTGATTGTTGGTTTGATCGACTGACTGTGACTATATGTTAGAGGCTGTGAAACATTCTTATTAAACTATTTTAGAATAAGTTACATTTTGGGAGCAAAAGCAGCAACAGCTACCTTTGTGATTTTTGTGTTTTGTTTCCTTAAAAACTACATCTAGACAGTGAAAGAATGAATTAGTTACACTGACTTATAACTATCAGAGGCAACTATTAATTATGGGAGGCACTGAATGGTGATGTGTGCAGGAACGATTCAAAACCTCTTGTCTGTCAGAGGAACACCCCAAACCTCCACATTTTGAATGACCTGTTCAAGAAAGCCGATAAAGCTGAAGTTTTATCCATGAGTGCGGACATTTTCCACTTTGTTTAACTGCTCTCAGATCAGTGATGAGATTTTGGGTGAAAGTTCGACACTTTGGTATCTGGAGGGATGTTTGCATGCTTTCCATATTTTTCTGTAAATGCTTTCGCAGTAAATCTTTATTAAGAGACACGCGGGTGGGGTGAATGCGTTTCTCAGGTGTTCAGAGTGAAAAGCGTAGGTCACGGTGCTCTGACGTTTACGTCATTCCACAACTGGTCCGACCGGTCGAGGAGCGACTCGCTGGCACGTCTCAGATGAAACTCATCCGACAGGCGTGTGCATAAAGACAGATCCGCAGCTCAGCAGCCAGACGCGAAGTTCTCGGCCGACATCCACCATGGTTCCCCTCTTGCTTGTGGCCGTTGTACTTCTGGGAGCATACGTCCTCCTCACACAGACTCTCTTCAAAAGAGCCAAATGCAAAGGAAACGCCGCGATGTCAGGGAAGACCGTCATCATCACAGGTGAGACCGGCATCAAGCGCAGTTTGTACCAAACAGACCGACTGCTAACGACACCAGCATCAAAAATGACGAGGTGTAGAAAGTGTGCCTACAAACAGCTGCTGTGTGTGCAGCTCGCAGCGTTCAGCGGATTTTCCTTTCATAGGTTTCTTTACTTCCTCTTACGAGGCGATAAGGATGTTGGTGTTGATTATGATAGCGACGGTGAGTAAAGGTACATAACAAGTTTTGTTAAATCTGCAGATGATGAGCAAAAGAAAAGAAGCCGTTAAATGTATGTTTCCTTCAATATGGGGTGGCTGTAGCTCAGGTGGCAGAGCAGGTCAGCCACTAATCAGAAGGTCGGTGGTTCGATCCCAGGCTGCCTCCTGGCTGCATGCCAAATATCCTTGGGCAAGATACTAACCCCGTGTTTGCCTACTGGTGGTGGTCAGAGGGCCCGGTGGCGCCTGTGTCCGGCAGCCTCGCCTCTGTCAGTGCGCCCCAGGGCAGCTGTGGCTACAATGTAGCTTGCTATCGCCAGTGTGTGAATGTGTGTGTGAATGGGTGAATGACTGAATGTAGTGTAAAGCGCTTTGGGGTCCTTAAGGACTAGAAAAGCGCTATACAAATGCAGGCCATTTACCATTTACCAATATTGCCACGAAAAAGAGGCTTCGACGGTACCGACCTACATGTAGATCGGCTTTCAGGAAAAACCTCGTCAAAAATAAGTGAACAGTAAATATGACATTTAAGCCGATTCAGCAGTTATTTCTAAATTCAAGTAAAAATCAGTTGAACACTTGCATCTCTAAACTGGGTTTGTACAGAGAGGGAATTCTCATCTAAACCTGAGCGTCGTCCTCCTCTCTCTTCCCTCTGAGGTCGGGGCCAGTTTTTATGCCACAAATCTGTGCCGATAGCAAAATCGGGATTTGCACAAATGTGATTGCTGCAATGAAAGAATTAAAGATGCGTTTTTCTTTGTTTTTGTGCTTTTTACTTTGGACGGGAGTGAAGTTTACAACAAAGGTGGAAGTGAAAATCTAGAATTCTTGTTTGCAATTTAGACAGGTTTCTACTAGCCTTCAGATAACACCACATTAAACACTTGCATGGATGATAGTTCTTGTTTGTGATGGTTTGGGTAGATGTTGCTTATTCTTTTCCTGCTCTTACTGTAGGAGGAAATACGGGCATCGGTAAAGCCACGGCTTTGCATCTGGCCAGGAAAGGAGCCAGAGTGATCCTGGCCTGCCGAAACAGGAACAAAGCTGCAGCTGCCATTGCAGAAATAGAAACGGTGAGAAGAACACACTGATGCATTGGCCACAATTTCCTCATGCTGTATGAAAGTTAATCCAAAGTTTCTCAGAAAGGAGCACTGACATTTAAAACAATAACTTGTGCAGTCGTCAGCAGGGAGTGGAGGCTTGTTACACAACGTCCTATCATGCTGTAACTGGCTGATGTGTGCTTTAGGTAATTAAAGCAGCTGAGAAAAAGAAGACAAGCTAAAGTAGTATGTGGATATGACTGTTTATTTATATTTATTCAGTAAGTACAATATGACAATTTTAAAGGACTGAAGCTGTGAAAGGAGTTAACCTTTTAAAGGAGGAGCTGACAGAGAGCACAAAACGGGATTTACAGTTGCTGCTGAAACGAGCTGAAGCGTTCACTTCTTTCATTGATGGTAATGTTTGAGCTGTTGCTTTAAGGAAAAAACAGTAAAAAGGGATTGAAGTGAAACAGGTTAAATGTAATCTTCACTGAATCACAATGATCTTCTTCCAGCAAACGGGAAGTACAGACGTGATCTACGTGCACTTGGACCTAGCCAGTCTGAAGTCTGTCCGCAGCTTCGCCGAAACATTCCTGAAAACTGAGTCCAGGCTGGATTTGCTCATCAACAACGCTGGTACACACACTACTACACAACACCACAATGTCTACTTAGTTGCAAGTACGAGGTCCATGCATCCATTTTCATCTAAACCAACCTCTGAGAGCCAGACACCATTAGGAGGAAATTTATTTGTTGAACTTCTCCACTTGGGGTATCAACTAATGATCAAGTCAGAGTGAGCATTCCCGATTTTCCACCTGAGAACTATGGCCTCAGACTTGCTCCTGTTTGTGTTTTCATCACAGCTGTGTGCTGGAGGTTGTTGCTTTATGAAGTTCACAAAACCAGGTCGTTTGTTTAAAAGAAAAAAAAAAGATTTGAGAGGCTGAAATCAACAAAACCTTAAGCTTCCACTCAGAGAGGGCCTAGAAATTCTGCCCAAAAAAGTATGAACAGGATGGGTGACAAAGGGCAGCTCTGGAGTCTGAAACTCACCATCAAATGACAACAAAGAGACCGAAGTGACCAGAAGCACAAAATAATCACAATCGACTTTGAAAAGACACCGAATAGCCACAAAGACGTCAAACGGCTATGTTGTGCAAAGCGGCCAGATTGGCCTCAAACACAAATTGATGTAAACCACTTGAGAGACAAACAAGTTTATCACAGTTGCCGTATCTGTCAAAAAGACGTGCAAATGCAGTTTTTAATGATGAGCAGCAGCAGTGGTGATTTGTCTGTTCTACGGAGACAGAGAAGAATCTAGAGAAAACAAGCTTCAAGAGATCAAGGAAGTACAAAGATTTCAGAAACCATTGTTCAAATATGTCCCCAGGATTGGTGGCAGACGGGCGGACTGAGGACGGATATGGCATCGAGTTCGGGGTGAACCACTTGGGTCACTTCCTGCTGACCAATCTGCTGTTGGAGAGGATGAAGAAGACAGGGGGAGGACGAGTGATCACGCTGTCCTCCATGGCTCATCGCTGGGGACACATTGACTTTAACGTGAGTTTGCAATAATTTAAAGAGAGCTTGGGGATGTAAAGCCATCTTCACTCTGGAACAAGCCTTTTTCCGTCTTTTGGGACTCTTATTTTTAAAAATGCTCTGCTCTAGTATTTCAGTAGTACGACTGAAGAGGTGGTCATAATGACATCACAAGTGATGTTGTTGCACGTCTTTCACCTTCACCTGTCTGAACAGCTTATTAACACGGTTGTTTTTGTATCTTAAGGCTCTGGTTGCAAACAAAGACCTGGGAACTGGCAGATACAGCTGGCAATTTTTCCATGCGTACTGCAACAGCAAACTGTGCAATGTGCTTTTCACCCATGAGCTTGCCGAGAGGCTGAAAGGAACCGATGTCACATGCTACAGTGTCCACCCAGGTAACACACTGGTTTACCTTTAATCAACACTCATTTTAGGCCATATATTACTGTAATTCAAGCTAAATCAACTGTTACTATCAGCATTTTATCCAAATTGAACACTAAAGGCAGTAAGTATGTGATTGCTCTTTGCCTTCTGCCCTGTAGGTGTTGTCCGGACTGAACTGTCTAGAAATGTCGGCCTGTGGCAGAAGATTTTCATCCAGCCTGTGGCCTGGCTGCTGTTCCTGGACCCAGAGATGGGAGCTCAGACCACACTGCACTGTGCCCTGCAGGAGGGAATCGAACCTCTGAGCGGGAAGTACTTCTCCTGCTGTGAGGCACAGGAAGTGTCCGCTCATGCCCGAGATGACAAGGTGGCCCTGAAATTGTGGGAGGTCAGCGAGAAACTCTGTGGACTGGGATAGATTTATTCACCTCGCTATAAACAGGTTGTTGAGTCCATGAGCGATGAGCTGTCATTCTGTCCTTTTAACAGTATCGGTGATACGGTGCTATATGAACATCTAGAACTGCTGTTCAGCACTTTTTTTTCCTGAAATTTAAACATCATTTCTGGTGTTGAATTGGTGTTGTTGCAGTGCCATCAGCAGGATGGAAGCTGGGAATAATCATGTTCACAAGTGTCTTTCTTTTTTAAATATGGTGTGTTTGTTGGGCGCTGCTGCATATTTGGTATGTTACTGTTCTGTCACCTGTTTGTGAGACAATAGCAACACGTTTTAATAGTTTCGTCATATTTTTTAAAAAATTTTTATTTTGTATTTTTATGTAAATATTTTTGAGTTCTTTGTACATTGTGTTTATACTGAGGTCCTTACTGAAGTTTGCCTTAATAAAAAATGTCGACTAGAATCTGTCCTCTTGGAATACATACCAACCGTCCCGATTTTTCCGGGAGAATCACGAATTTCAGTGCCCCTCTGAAAAACCATATCCCAGAATTCAAAGCGCTGCTCAGCAAGTTCCAGTTTCCAACAATGGCGGCAGCTAGTTAGTTTTAATGTTACTCTTATTATTCTTTCTGGGTCGCAAAATAAACTTTAAACATATTTCCAGGCGAAAATGTAGCTGTGTGAACCTCAAATATCTGCGCCGACGAGAACGGCAAACCCCCGCGGTTCTTTGCTGCTCAGGTTAAGCAGGAAAAGTCACTCAGATAAGCTAAAATGTTAGTGTTTGGCTTTTTTCAGTGTTTTAGTTGTTCGTGAGTAAATCTGCTTGGCTGAGATGACTGGATTAAATAAAACTTTATTAAGCCCTCAGGAGGAATAAACGTCAAACAGAAAACTGATTAAACAGAAGCGTGCGATGGTCGAGAGTTTACGCCAGCGTCCGGGTATACTTTAGATAGCAAGGAGCAGACGGCAGAGTTTCACTCCACCGAGAGAGCTCGTGAAGTAATTCTGACAATTTTATAGTCATTCACTTCCAGCCTACCCAGCTTTCAGAGGACCCGCCCACTTAGACCGCGAAGGCCTCAGGTGGACGCAGTCTCTGAATTTGGAGACCCCCGCTGTTTCCAGGCGGACAATAATAACGGTGACATTTAACTTATTTTATCTGTTAAATAAACATTGTAAACGTTTTTTGTATATATAAAAAAACATCCGTTTGACTGTCTCCCTGATTCTGAGTTCTCAGGGTTGGAAGTGTGCCTCTTGGGTTTTTCTCTTTTCATGGGACCAGAAGTTTGTTTTTCCTTTACCAGCCAGAATGTAAGTCTGGCTGTGACATTTTATTCATTTGTGGCTTAGAGTGGTCACATGTAAGTTTCCTTAATATACACAGTAGATCATGTACAGCACATTACTGTGTGCAATCTTGACTTTGTTATTATACCAGTAACTTGCTGTTTATGGGTGGTGTTTTTAGAAAAGATTATTCAGGGTCACCTGTGAAAACAGCAGCTGCATTCTGCTGTCTGATGTACGCGTTCCTCACCTGGCCCATCACCTGACTGACGTCACTCCATGTCTCTCACTTGAGTCATGACCTCGTCCACACATTTGATCTTGTGTTGATGTCATTGTTAGTGTTGTTGTTTTTTGGGGGGGCGGGGCTTCAGGCCCAAAAACCTGTCACATGAGAATCTGTGATCTCCGATGTTCAGGTGCCAGCTGCTTTTAAGACATCGTGGACGCACAGAAGGCTCTCCTATCTGGCCCTCTGTCTGAGCCTGGGTGGGGTGTCTCTGCAGCTCTGCCTCAGATTTGTGTGTGTGTGATTACTGAACGGCTCAAGGAATGTTTTTGGTGTGTAGCAGCAGAACTGGTTCTTTTGTGTCCGTGTGTGGCATGATATCCGAGTAACTGAGTCATACACCTGCACCTTACTTACACATGTTGTATGCAGAGGACCTGGGCTATCACCTCCTTACTGATGTCATTACATCCTGTATAATAAATATAATAACATTGATCCTGTGTTTCAGGCCCCAGTGGGAAACGGACTCTCATCATACCTTCTTCCAAAACAGTTCAGTTACAAGCTGGTAATGTCATCGGTGTAGAAACAAGAAGTAGTGCAGAGAGAGAGTTTGTTGGCAACAGCAGAATCATGTCTCATTACACTCCAGGTTTCTCCTTGGGCAGCATTATGCACTCGATGGATATTCTAATAATAAGCCCTGCTTCTTCCCAGCTTGAGCCCCTTTTGCCTTCAGAACCATCTTCATTTATCGTGGCATAGATTCAACCATGTGATGTAAAGATTTGGGTCTACGCTGACATATGTTGCCCCTTTCCACTGTAGCCCAAAGGTGCTCTACTGGATTGAAATCTGGTGACTGTGGAAGTGGTGTGGCAGTGAGTTCACTCTATTTGAATAGAGTGAACTCAGTGCCACGTAACCAGTTTGACGGGATCTGATCTTTGTAATATGGTGTGTTTTTCTGCTGGAGGCAGCTGTCAGACGGCAGGTACACTGCAGTGATGAAGAGGTGGACATGGTCAGCACCAACATTCACACCATGCTCAGTAAAATGGAGCAAAGCCTCTGCTTCCCTGTTTAAAAGTTCTACTTTTACTAGTTGCTATTTAGTCTTTCTTCACATTTTTAATGGCATAAAAGTTCGAGCTTTTGGCTCAGTGATAATAACAGGTTGAGGCCAAAGCTAAATTTTGATTTAGACAAAAGTCCTGAAATCTGTTATGATCGTTCTTCACAGCGTCGTGGAAACATGTAAAATAATCTAAGTAAAAGCTGAAGTGACAAAGTGTGCACAGCCGCTGTCACAACAACACTAGTGCTACTGGTTGGTGTGATCAAAGCTCACAATCCAGACTCACAAATGTGAAAACACAGCAGGTGTTCGCAGCCTGCAGTCTTGTGATTGCTGAGCAGCTCTGGGAACACTTTGGTGTTGAACTGGTTCTTTGTTTCAGGATTCCTTTCCATCGATGTGACATGATATCAGATCAGCTGCGTCACAGTCCCGCATACTGCGGAGAACATTCTTCACCTGCACTGGAATCTGGGTCATCACCCTTACAATAATAATGGAGGCAGCTACAGGTGTAGCCACAGCTGCCCTGGGGCAGACTGACAGAGGCGAGGCTGCCATATCGCACCATCGGCCCCTCTGGCCATCACCAGTAGGCAGTAGGGTAAAGTGTCTTGCCCAAGGACACAACGACCAGGACAGAGAGCCCGGGGATCGAACCGGCGACCTTCCGGTTACAGATACGCTTCCCAACCCCCTGAGCCACGGTCGCCCAATAGATGCTGCAGCATTGCTTTCATGTCACATGAGTAAAGTTCACTTGACCCTTTTATTAGGACTTGGTGTCCACCTGCTTCCTACTCTCACTGCATATCACAGTGTTGTGTGTGGACATCACAGTCCACAGAGACTCCTGCCTTCATTTCTCAAACTGTCCATCAAGTTATCGTAAACAGATGTTAAAAACCTTCCAACCTTCCATGCAGTCACGTCTTCAGTCTGTGAAGTAAACAAAACTTCTGTGCTGCTCTGATGTCAGCTCATCACAGATATCTTTATGAGGTCATATGCTCCCAGCACACCACACCCAGACCACGTCATATCTATGCACACCTTCCCATTAAATATCAGTGCAGTTACAGTAAACAGCAGCACTACTGCTTATTTATACACATATATCCTAACAGAGACACTATCTTCCACATGAGGGGGTTTGGCTGAGACTGTCCAGAAACTGTGCCAGGAGATTTTCACTCTGTTGTTCCTCCATCCACAGAGAACCCTTCAGCCCATGGGGCACCCCATGTTGCAGGCAGGACTCAAACCTCTGAGTGGGTGTTACTGTGCAGGAAGTGTGGGCCTGAAACTCGGAGCATGTTGAAGAGCACAGAAACTCTTTTGGACATGTTGTGCTGCTGCCACCTAGTTTCCTAAGCCTGAAATACCAGGAGCCACTTTTATTTTCAATCCAGTTTAATTTAGCGTCTGTGACAAACAGAAATTGAATTTTTGTTTCTTCTTTGTTTAAATGTTTTTGAAAACATGGAAAGGATGTTCTGTCCGACTGCTTTATATATTTACTGTGTTATTTTCTGCTTTTTACTGTAGAGGAAACAGAATATCAGAGTTTCGCATGTATTCACACTGCAGTGCTTGCTTACTGAAACCTGTCTTACTGAAACAGTCACACTAAATCTGTTTTCTTCAGTATTATTCGTGTTCACATCTGTACAGATGCTGTATCAGTTCAGCACCAAGCACAGAAGTCTTCCTTAAAAGCTGCTCTATGTTCGAAGGTGTTTTTGAGTACTTTTTGATGGTTATCACACAGTACTTTGTAAAATGTCTTGACTCTGGCTTCATGTGTGGAACATCATGAGTAAACTTTTATTTTAGTGCTTTATATGCCACAAACTCTCCCACACCCTCCTATTAATTTTTTAACCACATCTTTCAGACTTATTTCATTAATAATTGAAATGAATAGAAATAATTAATCATCACTTGTGACGGAAGTGACGGACAAGGTAAGCGACTCATGTTGTAACTGACGTCAGACGCCGGAGATTTTGGCGGAAAATTAAAGCGAATGGTAGCTTAGAACTGAACAAACTCCTTTGAGCTTCAGTATTACCAAATACACTTATCAATTGTCTTATAACTAACAATATTTGTCTAAATCATCTCCAACACCCTGGAGTATAATATCGTGCAGCCCATACTGTACATAAATGCTACTTTCACATTTTGCAACATTTCCAACCTCTGTATATTTAATTTTTATTTAATTTTCACACACATAGATATACATATTTAGTATACATATTCAGTAATGCGCATACACTCTTATATTGTACATATATTTATTGTTATAATCCTCAGGTTTAGCCATTCTTATATTTTGCCTGTTTATGTTATTGTATTTTGCACACCTCTGTTGCTTGTGAAGCTCGCACACAAGAATTTCACTCGCATGTGCTGTACCAGTGTACCTGCACATGTGATGTGACAATAAAAGAGATTTGATTTGATTTGATTATGACCTGACCCTTAACCCCATTTTGTTTCAATGCACCTGAAAATAACGTGTGTTTAATTTTGTTGTAAATACGGGGGCAAAAGGGAGGAGACTGCATTTAGGGTCAGGCGTGGGTACTTAAGAGGTTAATAGAAGGGCTGTGCCCTTTGTCCCACTGTGGTTTTGTGTCTAAGCACTCCATGTAACTAGTTTTACGTGCGTTTTCCAACTACATGAATGTCCTATTGCTGTGTGATTTATTAACTGAAGGTTACTCTCCATACCAACACCAACACCAACTGATGTTTAAATCTTAATATAAATGAGTAACAGTAGGTGGACATTAGGTAAGGCTGCACTTTTTGCAGTGATCTCGTATAGAAAACTATTCCG